TTGGCAAAAAGTAACGAATCACGACTCTTACATTCTATTGAGAGCTGTCGGTTTTTTGCGAAACTTCGTGGCACGTTGAAGTGACTGACTACATAAATGGTTAGCAATCTGAAATCATCACAAATCTAAGTGCTCCACTTAAAGAAATATTACCCACAAACGGAGTATATTACTCGCATTGACAAGTAGATCACCGGATGCGGCACCCAAATTATTTAAGGGTAGTAACAGACGGGTTCGCAGTGCGGAAATACGAGGCACCATGCTGACGCCTATAGCCACCACTTACACAAATTGTCGATGGTAACGTAAGAGTTGACCTCAAACTTGGCGGCAGTCCGGAGACCGGCAGAACAACTAACCATTGCAGCAGACATTGGACAGCGTTTACCGCCGAATGCGAAGCTCAGATCCATCTCCTACCGCCTCCCACCTGCGTTCACAGGGCGGAGCGAGCCCTTCGTCAACTGCTTCTGGCAGCAGCAAGTCACCACGGTCCGAACGGCAGCATTCCCTTACTTCGTCCCAATTACTCGCCTGAAGCCGCCCGTCTAAAACGCAACAGAAACGATATATGAGCACCTGATGTCAAAGACCGGCGCATCGGCGAACTGAACGGTCTGAGCGTCAACGACGGCAAACGCAAACGCTGGCATGAAGTAGTTGCAGATTGCAATTCCCGCGGCAACTCAGCCACCACGTAGAAACGTCTACGTAATCTGACCAAGTCCCGGGCTGACACAACTAATCAGTCTATTAGTTTCGGGGACAGCAACTTCATTACGAACAATGGTGAGATCGCCGCAAAGACGAATAAATTGTTCTCATCCCACTCGGTGCCCAGTACCCAAAGGCAGCGCTCCTCTTTACGTCTACCCCACCCGGACATCTGCTCTGCAGATGCTATCCACACCGCCGTAAAGAAAACGAAAGCGTCGAAAACCATAGGACCAGATGGCTTGGCACCTATCCATTCGTGCCATATCGGCCCTAAGGTGGCTGCCTACCTTGCTGCCCTTTTTAAAATTTTGCTAGCTAACTCAGTCATCCCTGATTGCTGGCCCAAGTCATTTAAAATCCCTCTAGTCAAGTCGGACAAGGACCCCAGTTCAGCGACCTCGTGTCACCCAATCAGCCTCCTCACTCCACAGGCGAAGACCATGGAACGGCCCATGCATCGAATTCACACGTCTGTGGTGGATCT